TTTTATTTTTTCATTTTTATTTTTATTTTTATTTTTATTTATTTTTATTGTTTTTTTTTTAACTTTATTGCTATGTCTGGTTTTATTACTATGTGCATATTAGTATTGTACAGCACTTTGGTCTACCAGGTGTGTTTTTAAAGTGCTATATAAATAAATAAATGATGATGATGATGATGATCAAACTCTGTACTTGTCAGGGTACTACTAAATCAGTCTGTGACAAATGTTTTGTCCCGGAACATGAGGAGTGGTACCAGGATTAGAGGAAGTATTCCTCTGATGTGTTAAAGAACAACAAACACACAGGATGGTGGCAGCGGTGGTGAACCACAAACCATCTCAGGTGTTGTTTCAGACAAGGATCTCAGAAAAATTGTCATGGCAACATAGCACATCTAATCTGATGAAACACCAGGTCAGTCATAAAATATATCTAATCTTGAAGAGTATATCAAATCTGAGATTCTTGTTATAGACACAAATGTATTTTAATTTCATTATAAATGAAATTTGGTGGCACCGTGCATTAGTAGCTAAAATAACCCGCTTTATAATTCTGGCAATGCTTTCAGCTATCAAGTCTGGCATTTTTATAAAGAAGAGACTCAGAAAAGAAAGAGTCCAAAACAATAGTATTCACAGGGGTGTCGAACTCCAGGCCTCAAGGACCGGTGTCCTGCAGGTTTTAGATGTGTCCTTGATCTAACACAGCTCATTTAAATGGCTAAAATGCCCCCTCAACATGAAGGCTCTCACTCCCATTCTACTTTTAAATACTCTAGGACAGCAGTTCCTAACCCCCGGGCCTCAGACCGGTACCGGTCCGTGAGTCGTTTGGTACCGGGCCACGAGAGTTGAGGCTCAGGTGTGAAATGTATAGTTTTCAGGGTTTTTATTGGTTTTCAGCGTTATTTTGTTATCGTTTTTATCGTTAACTTAACTTTCCTGGGTCTTTTCGGGTGTGTTATGAATAAATCTTGTGTTTTTTCGGTACCGGTACTAGTTTCATTTTGTTGTATTTATCTGCGATACCTTAAAGGCCGGTCCATGAAAATATTGTCAGTCATAAACCGGTCCGTGGTGCAAAAAAGGTTGGGGACCGCTGCTCTAGGAACAACACTTCCACACTTCCTTTGTTGTACAGCACTGGGTGAATAGACTGTAGTGTTTTTTGTGTGGTTTTCTTTTTGGTCCACAGCTGCTGGTAAGTCCCAGTTCCATGTTTATTCTTATTGTAATTTGGGACACAGTTTTAGACGACGCTAGATTCAGTGCTCTGTCATTGTTGATGTTTTATCTTGCTTTATACTAATAAATAAAATTGTATTAATATTTGAGCCGGCCTCGGTGTGCAAACGTCGTTGTTTTTATTATATTTTATTCTCAAACGATTCTATATTTCATGGGGGTGAAATTCCCTTAGGTGGCGTTGTTATTTTATTAATTTTTATAACCCCACCGACCACTTGGTTACAATTCCATGGTCCTTCGAGCCAGATCTGCAGTTTCACCAGGTAAGATGGCTTTCTCATCCACTCCTCGTCCTCGCCTCGATGGTCATCGACCTTGTTATCTCGATGACTTCTTGGTGCAGTTGACGAGGAGATTGCTACCACAGGCGCATGTGTCACACAACTACTCCCCTGATGACCATGGGGCACATCCTGACACCTCAGCCACTCTAGCTAACCAGACTTCCCAGCATGGCACCTCGGAGGTGGTATTATCAGCACTGACAGAAATACAAGAAGATAATAACCAGCTCAGACGGGAGGTTCAGACTCCACTTGGTGCTCTTTCTCTCCAGTCCTCAGTCCTCCAATCGTCTCCAACTCCCCAACCTTCAGCATTAGGCTCACTTACCCAGGACCAAAGGAAGTCCTTGTGGACTGATGCCATGCCTCAGGCTCCTCATCCTGACCATGCCTCCAGGCCTACCCACACACTGTACTTGCCTTTGACATACTGGGAGATGATATACAGAATTTATTTTGGCCAGAGGCATCACTTCCACTTGATCCTCAGAGCACCGAGCCATTTCCCCTCCCGCCACCTCCGGTGTCAGAGATCCCTGCTAGTGCAGCAGCCTCAGTTCTATTCAGATATATGTCACCAAGAGCTGGGCGATAGAACGATAACAATATGTATTGCAGAATAACTTTTTCTCGATAGAAAAATGAAACTATTGCGATAGACCTCATCTCTCTCTCTTCTGCTCTTAAAAAAAAGAAAAGAACAGCCAATCCAAATTATGTAGCGCAGAGCCGAACCAATCACAACCGCAGCGTCACGTCACATGTCTTGCTACGTACAGCACAAGTGCCAAGCCGCACATGTGTATTTGTTTGGGAAGCAGTCAGCGTGCTGGCCGGGTAATGGAGGAAATGAGTGTGCAGACTAGAGAAAAATCAACCGAGAGCGTGACCGAAGGTTACCGAAGAGAACACAGATGACGGTTCCAGTGCCGGAGAGATTGTCTAAAGGAAGGGCCAGAGAAGTTCCCTAGTGTGGAGGTATTTCGGCTATTTGAAGTTTGACAAAAAACAGAGTAGCGCGCACTGTAAACTGTGCCGAAAGCATGTTCCCACAAAGTCTGGAACTACAACAAACCTTTTTTATCACCTGAAGCAGTGCCACCCACTAGGGCACGCTCAATCTCTGACTGAAAGCGCTAATTCGTCATCGAAAACAACCAGGGGAATCCCTGCGAAGCAGCAACAGTCAATTGAGTCGGCTTTCTCCAGCGTCTTACCATATGACAAAAAAGCTAAGAGACATAACGAATTCCATAGCCTACTGTCTTGCTAAAGACGTGCTACCAATAAACACGGTCGAAAATGAAGGATTTGTTCTATTTTGAAACTTAAAGGCTTTAGCAGCTACCATTTGTGTAGTTTGCAATATTTGCCTTTATTTATCTGAAACTGAAGTCTCATGTTCCTCAAGTACATCTGCCCTGTTGAACTTATTATGGGAAATAAATATTTAAATAAAAAAAAGCTGCTGATTATTTCACATTTTACTTGTGAGCAATGGCACATTTAAATCATACAAATATAGTTATTTGGCTTATATCGTGATAGATATCGTTATCGCCTGAAATGAAAAAAACATATCGTGATATGAAAAAATCTTATATCGCCCAGCTCTAACGTCACCTGATCAGTACAGTCAAATTCCTTTGGCCGGACATGTCAGGAACATGAACGTGAAGGACGAGTTTGGCACTGGAGTGTGCATGAAGAGGGAGGTCACCCCTGAATATGCGGAGCCATACACCTTGCAGCACTGACAACCAGCAAGCTTGTGTGAAATGGCGGGGGACCCGCCTCGTTGGCCACCAATGGATTCCAAGGACTGGAGAAAACATGGTCAGCACGAACCTCTGACCTAGTAAAAGGTGGCTGAAAAACTAGTTCATGCATTCATTACTTCCAGGCTGGACTACTGCAATTCATTATTATCAGGAAGTCCTAAAAACTCCCTGAAAAACCTTCAATTAATCCAAAATTCTGCAGCAAGAGTCCTGACAGGGACTAGAAAGAGAGAGCATACAGTGGGGCAAAAAAGTATTTAGTCAGCCACCGATTGTGCAAGTTCCCCCACTTAAAATGATGAGAGGTCAGTAATTTGCACCAG